ATATATATAATAATTCAAGCCTACCACGCAAAACTACATATAAAAAGGCCTAATCCTCAAAATAGCTTGGTTATAAGAAGACTGCCTTCCTTTGATCCGTTAGGTCGCTTCCCAGCGGAAGATTACTGTGACCTTTTTTCCATAGTCCTACCCAACAAGAACAACTGTATTACAGCAAATAGTGTTATAATTTTTTACGCGGTACTCATTGCTAGGATTACCAAAGAAAACCATGCTCCTTAAAATGAAGTCACAAGTATGCCGTAACTGCAACATTCCTTCAATTTGCAGTGTTCAATTGGCGTGAAACACCCACACGTGAATTTGAACGTCCAGGACTCGGACGTTCAGCGGGTACCAGTGCATGGAGTGCCCCCGTAGAGGGATCTTTGGACAAAAAATCATCTCTGGCTGATACTAACATCAATCAGTTTCACCCAAGCGTCCCAACGGCAGATTTTTCATCTCCATTGTTTAATCCCCCAGAGAGTGGACCACTTCCAGTGTTTGTCAATTCTCCAGTTGATCAAATGCCCGATTCGACCAACCTCCAACCCAAGTGGAATAAACCAAAGCTGTTGTTCGAGAAGGTGAAAAGTACGCTCCAGCGTGAGCTCGTACAACAGTCCCAATCTAATGCGAAATCGGACAAATCGATTGGTGAAATATCGGCCGTGGAATCTGAAGCGATCCCGGCGGTACTGGACATTGACAATCCACTGCTGAGTGGTTGCAAGCGGGAGGTTTGCAGTAAGGAATGTCCAGGCGGCTTGAGAAAACTTTCATCAAAAACAGGCTGCCCAACTTGTGATTGTTGTCCGGTAGTTGAGTGTAAAACAGTGTGTAGCATTGGATATGACGCTGATGACGACGGTTGCCCAACCTGTAAATGCTCAGATCAGTCAAAATGACCGTTTAATATTTTGTTATCCCGCTGAGCGTAGCAGGATGAACTCAAAAGGAACCTTTGTGCACAACCAGGTAGTTTTTTGCCAGTAATCTTTTTCATTCATGGACACTTGCACATCAAATCAGCACTTGGAACGAACCCTGTCCCATAACAATTAATGGCCACAAAGTTCTTCAACCAAAAAGCATTTTTTGGCTTTAAGCCTATAGGACCCTCTATATTCACCCTGAAAAAGATAAACTACGTTGAAGGTTGTGGAGACTTTTCGTTCATTGTATTCCGACGACTGCTTCGGGGTGTGGGATAAACTCTACCATCAGAGTCATACTAAGGAAAACAATACAAAGACTATTAAGCCCTTTCCCATAGTTTCCGCTGCCTTTCAATTCCGTAACCTGATCTTTTTAAATGAGGTACACGGATTTACCCCTTAATTTTCAATGAAAAAAGAGACAGCCTCCTTCAGCTAGCGAATTTGAGGCACTGGTTAGGATTTGTAGTTGGAGTTACAATTAGAAACGGATCACTTCGCCATTTATCAATACAAACTAGCCGGTCTTCCTCATGAGTTAACCAAAGTTATAATCTTGAAATACACTTTGATCAAGATTATCCCAATCGGGTCGATACTAGTGTAACGGCGACACTACTGATGGGAGAGGCATGCGAGTAGTATGTTTCCTTCTTGTAAATTCACTTTGCGTCTCTTGAAAAGGGAGATCTATTGCGGAATTGGCGGAGTCGCTGTGTAGCATTTGCTTGGATTTGAGTAATGAATGATTTGAGTCGATGAATATCCAGGAAAATTCAAGAGGACGCGTTCAAGAGAAGATATATGTTCAGTTTTTGTAAACAAGATGCAAATGAGTTTTGCTTCCCTGTCCAATAGTCTGTCACTGGTCAGTCGGCAATTTCTGATAACTCCGCAGCGAAAGACTTCTTGTATTCACTAGGAGCACTACCATGTTCTCATCAAAATAGTTCTTGAATTCCGGACTTCATATCCCATCAACCAGAAACGAAATAGATTGGAATCAAATGAATTCGAAATAACACAATCTCCGACATCAAAACACCAAAAAGTCTATGCAGTTATCGTATTTTGACCTGCTTATCGAGTTTCAATTGCAAACACTTTATTACTAATCGAGGAAACTTCACCAGTGCGACGTAGCCTGAAGTCGCCTGTAGTGTAGTTGTCAGTACTAAGGATACGCGATGTGCTAAGTAAATAAAATCTTTTTACTTATTTAAACAAAATTTAGAAAGCGGAGCCTAAATGTTATAAAGTTAAGGTCGCGGTCAGTCAGGCCAACATCTCAAATGTCCGGAAGCTTACTAACACGGTAAGTTTAAGGTAGCAAGACAACCTGGATGGAAGCCCTAGGTTAGAAGTGAAAAAAAATTCGAAAAGGAATGCAAAGACCTTCCTTCCGTTGAAAGAAGTTTCCTCAAATTACGAAAAGGATATCGACATGAGACACACTGCATAACACAAACCACAAAGATAACTATTCGAGGAGTAAAGAAATAATATTTGAGTGCAAAACGAAGAGGACCACTTTCGTAATCAAGAAACGTGAGCCAAACTTTCGCCCTCGACATTTGGTACATGGAAGATGAAGCAAATTGTGGCATACAAACTTCAGTTTACAGACAATGTTCTGAAGGACAAATGGCTCCAAAACGAGTGGACACCTTAAAATGGAATTAATTGTTTCTTGAAGCGTACGTAGGGTTGCGGCACCATCGGCGCCCTCTAGGTATCAGGCTCCAACATTTCCAAAGACTAGCATTTTTCGGGTTTCTCAAGCTATAAATGACCACTTCTACATTGGTTTCATCCGTCTGGAACCATACCGTTCTCCCTTCGTGACAACTTTTGATAGGGGCCGAAAATTGAGGATGAATTACCGAGTGTTAGAGGAAACATTTGTTTTAACGTTTGCGTAGATCTGTTATTTCTGATTTGTTATCGGGCAGTTCCAAATCACATCTTACGCATCTTATTCAGCTTAGTTGTTGAGTACCCCTCATGTGAATGAATGAATCAATAACACTAAATTTTATTCTGTCAAGTTTACTAGTAAATCAAAGGTTCGTAAGTTCCAGCTGTGAGGAAACGATGACAGCATGGACTTATGTCCTCAATAATCCTTTAATTTGATCTACCAAAAACAGCTTTTATGAGCTACTTTATTAATTAAGAAAGAAATGCAGTTTAACATCACTATTTTCCTTCTTGGCTTCAAATATGGTATTCGAATGCGACTGTCGTTGCTAAGTGGACATAGAGGTGTTGTTTTTAACGAGTTCACGCCAAAGTGGGACTAAAATACACTGCATAAAGACACTGGCCGAACTAGATCGTATTCGGTAACTTTCAAAAGCTCACAGAGTTCGGAAAGAAAATAATAAATCTGGCAGGTGAGCAAAACTATTCAATGCGGTGTTCATTTGACCTGACGAAAATTCATCATCAAACTAATTACTACGGAGTTGTAATAGTCAGTTGCGGTCAGCGAATCCTTTCGCGAAAAAGGATAGGTTATCAAGCTACTGCTGAAATTGCCCAGAAGGAGTCTGAAAGTTCCAAATATATACCCACGAAAAAAGTCAATTTTTGGTCAAAATTTTCTGACAGGAATGCTTAATGCCCGGAAATTCACACCGGTATTTGATTACCACTTGCGAAGTCCGAACACCAAACCTAGTGGTTTTTCGACAAATACACTCATTCGCAAATCAAGTTAATTTCCACGGGTGATTCAACTGAATCTCCTGTTTATGATACTCTTTAACCGAATGTGCTGCACAAAGACTGTTTCGGTTGAGAGACCTCAGTATGGTTCTAAGAAGGACAATACCCACATGTTCGTAACAGGTTTATTTGAGTAATATCATAAACGAGAGATACCGGTGAGTTTCCCAAATCGATGTACAGATGAAGGTATTTATCAACTTCCGTGCAATTTGGGTTCAAGTAGAACATCATTTTGACGGAAATTCGGGGAGTACGCCTATCCGATGAGAAGGACGAAACCAGCTGTGTGTCATCAAAGAGTTTTCAGCGACCTCGTGAGTAGTTTACAATTCTCTTTAGTTTTTATTTGAGTAGGTTTAAAGTAATTTCATACCTTAACGTGAATATAAGTTAGTGGCTCAAATTAGAAATATCGTAATCTGATCATTCTGAGATATTGCCAGCTAAGTTGGAAGCAACACGAGGTGGTGGAATGCAGACGCCCATTTCGGCGTGCGACGCAAATGTTCATCCATCATGAGATACCGCTAACTGGCTTTTTTCCTTGAAATTAATAACTAGAAAAACCGGCGCGGAGCTACTAACTGCCCCACTTACTGAGGAATGATTGCTATGTTCAAAGTTCACGAGGGCAGCATGTGATTCTTTCTCACCCTTCTCCTCCAGCCTCTTTTCTCTTTTTTATCTATTCATGGCGCCGCACTTTTTATCCTGCTGGATATATGGCCCAAGGAGCAATCAAATGGGGATAGCTTGCCTGAGTTCATACAACTGCCTCTATAGAGCTGCATTAGTGGTGTATTTACTGATCCACCCTGACGATAAAGCTTTGAAAGGAAATCGAATACAGAGCTCTGAGTAAGAATTACATCCATTGGTGCCAAAAAGGGTAATACTTCGCAGCGTCAATGTATCTCATTTTTCTCAATAGTGAAAGGAATTTTCTTCAGACGTGTTCATGCCAGACCACAAACTATTGGCTACAAAAACTGTTACGCGACCCAATAGCTGGTTAGAATATGAGACTGATATCGTTGGCCTCCAACCAGAGCTGAAATGCATCATAATCGAGTTTTTCTTTCAAGCATTAGAATTAACCCCCTTGTTTTTCCAGTTTCTTGGGTGGGATATTCCTGGTGATCGGAGAGCGTTGTAATTTCACTATAAAAATTTGAATCCCCTAAATTGTCTCCGTGTCACAGATTTGTGTTTTGGACACGGATTGCTGCAGATGGATTGTTTTTACTTACGTTCGCAGAGATATACGCCCAGAGCTGTTATGCGTTGTGCTGCTAGCCTCAGTAAGTGGTGAGACAACACAGTGTTTTCTAGCAATTGTATATATAATTCCAGGAACCTTCCGAAAGACAGTTTTGTCAGCGGTACACAAGTGTGTCCACACGAAGCGACTGATTCAGGATGGAAGAAGACAATGAGCATTTAGTGATATGCACCATCAGCATCATCACGAACTGTAACAACAGTGAATGGTGGTGTTTAACCGCTGTACAGCTATATTAATTCATGTGCATAAAGCCTTGTAACGGAAAGAAGAAGTGGTATAGTGAGAAGATCTAATGCTACTCTACCACCAGCTGTATACACCTCAGAAGCTCAATCTATTACCTGGTGCAATAAACTTTTCTAACAGTACGCATCCTCCATAAACCCTTGGTTAGGTTAGGAAACTAAGAGCATGATGAGCCTCAGAATTCGAGTCAGTTACTTGACTTTTGTCCAAAAATCCATTTTGAAAACATCTGTGACCACCAGTACTGATGTTTTTTTTGACACAGTCCCTAATAAATGAACGTTAGTGGGAGGAAAAATGGCACAAAAGTGCCTGATCGATTCCGTCTAAATATGGCGTCGCAGTGGCTTTCTTGTGGAAGTTTTGCGCAAAGACGAGAAAACGAGAGGTTTCTCACTGGGGATTTAGTGTGCTGAAGTATGCCTCGAATAAGGAACTCTAACAAAAATAGCTCCATACAGATGGACTCCGGTAGCTGTGTTGAACAAGCTGTTCTGAACAGGCCGCATCTAAGGCGTGACCCAAAACATATTCTGGTAGCTGAGAAACAATGAGATCCTGAAAATAAGTCCCTGTAGTTGGAGACTATTGTTTACACATATCCTTACATTTTACCCTCTGTGGTGGGATATGGAAAGTGGGCTTGGGAGAGGACCCGTGTTAACCTGATACAAAACATCCAGTTCATTTACCGAGATCACTGGGAATGTGAAACGACAACTGCATAGTTGGAGCACATTTTCACGGTTGCCGATCCCATGTACTGTACTGATTTTGCGAGTGGTCTGTGCTTGCCTTAAAACAATCGAACGCTTGGAGGAACACTGGCACAAACATCGAAGGCTGGATAGTCTTTGTCAACTTATTGCGAATAGTCCGGGTTATGAAGTACATTAATAGCCTGTCCCGTCGACGTACTACTTCGAAAATGTCAACGCTTAATCGAACCCTCACTG